CATCCCCTCCCCAGGGATCTGCCTTATCTCCTTTATCTCTTGGGGTTATGCCAGCATCATGTGCCCCGGCCACCTTTATGAGCCAGTCTGCTAGCCTCCCCTGGAGAATGCTTGTCTCACTCATTCTGGGCCAGCAGCAGCTGCCGAGGTTGCACATGGCAGACAGCAGAGGGGGACAGAGCTAGAGAGGGACTGGCTGGGTCAAGTACGTTGCCAAAGATGAGTCTAACTTCAGGCTTGCAGGTGAAACCGTGCATTTGCTTTGCGTCTGGGGTTCTATGGAAAGAACTGAAGAAATGTGGGCAATAGATGGGGCCACGGAGAGACGGAGAACAGGGAACTAGCTAGAGAAGAGATTTTTAAGAAAAAGAATGCAATCATAGTACACTGTTTGGCTCTGCAGTCTACAGCTGGCATGGTCGTAATGCAGATGACACTTACTGACGTGAGTATGACAAGACGGCATTGGGATGACGGGTGAGGAAACTCTCCCCTCGGCAGGAAGTCAGTAATGTTTACAGTAGATGAGTCGGGAAATGGAAGTGCATGAATATTGTTTGGAAATACGGAACTGTGGAGGAAAAAAGACAGCTGGAAGGGTGACAAGTGTTTCCAGAATCAGGACTGGGGCAGGGCAGAGGGCTGTGGTTTTTTCATCATATGCCTTTCGGTTCCATTAGCCTTCCTTTCTTAATCATCCCACGTATTATGTAGATCAAAACATTTTTTTAAAAGAGAAGTTCTGCCAGTCGTAACACTTAGATTTCTGGACAGGAACTGGGAAAGCTCATCTAGTGCAGCCCGCCACCTTTGCACAGGTGAACGCCCAAACCCAGGTGGCCTGTTACAACTGCCTGCTGAGGAAATCGCCAAAAGGAAAACAGCCGCGGCTTGAACTGCCTGGGGAAAGTTGTACTTGAAAACAACAGAGACTTTTGGGAAATGGTCATTGACTGTTGAAAGATTGTCATGTGCCCTTGCGGGGTCTCCCATTGAGGTTGAAAGGGACACTGGAGTCCCAGGGGACTGTGCAGTCCTGGCCTTGTTACTGCTTCATGGTGGGACTGGAGTGAGTCGTGGCCTCCCAGTTCCCATCTTTGGACAATCCGAGCTTTGAGTTTTCCAAGGGCCTTTACAGTTCTATATTCCCGAACTGGAAAATGACTGCAGATAGCTTCAGTGCACTGGGCACAGTGGGGAACAGAGGGAGAGACAGATAATAGACCAGTGAACAAATAAGATTCTTTCAGACAGTGACAGTGTTCCAAAGAAACTAAACCAGGGGGATGGTATAGATGATGCTGGGATAGGGTAGATAATGATGGGATGGACATTGCTGGAAGGGGCTTGGGTACTGTTCTCTGAGGAGGGGATGTTTGAGACCTAGACAATGTGAGAGAAAGCCAGCTGGCGGTGGCAGGGAGACAGTGCTCCAGGGAACTCTGCTCCAGGGCACTGAGGCCAGGCCGGTCCTTTGCAAGGACAAAGGAGGGACAAGGGGTGAGCAATCAGTATGACTTTTTTTTTTTTTTTTAAGGAAAAATAACTTTCTGTGCATGGCAAGGGTAAATTGGATGCCACCCTGGGTTCGATGGGCCCGCCTTCATCCAGTACCCAGCCCAGGGACTTGTCTCTTCTTTAGTATCTCCGGAGAGGGCCCATTTCGTCCCTGCGCAGAAGTAAAACATGGGTGTGTGTTGTGGGAAGGATTGAGCACTGCTGGGAAGAACCATGGGGATGGCAGAGGCTGGATTATAGTGGCCAGAATTACACTTCTGGGGGAAATAAGGGATGTTAATAAGTCAAAGATATGACATCAAGGCTTGTCCGCCCATCCAGGCCACGCATAAGAGTTAGTCCAATACTTTCTACCCCCTGAAGATGCTCTGAATATCAAGGCTGACACAGCACTAACAGTTTCCAGTATGCTTTGTAGTAAATCAAATTTGAATTTAATAAAAGTTAAAATGTAATAAATTAAATGTTCATGTCCTTTGACCCAGCACCTCCACTTTTAGGATTCTGACCACGCAAAGAAGTCAGTTCAGGGATGCTCACTGGCGGTAGTTTGGAGTAGCAAAAGCCTGGAAATGACCGAAATGGGCATGGACAGGGAGCTAGTTGAGTACATTGTGGCTTAGCACCAGGGAACACCAGGCAGCCACTCCTAGAGTGAGGGGGATCCATATGGAAAAGAATGATCTCTGAGGAATATTATTCGATGAGAAAGGCTAGGCTGACTTATCTTAGACTGTGGCCAAATGCTCTTCTTGTAGCTCTCAGCTTCACTAGCACTGGGGCCTCTCCAGCCAAGGGAAATTGGGACACTGGAAGAGCAGACACACCCACTCCCTAGTCCAGAAAGAGGACCTGGGAAGGACAAGGCGCTGCACAGTTGCCCCATGGTGGCCGAGCTCCACTAATCCAAAAAGTGAACACTGGATGTCTCCCTGTCAGGAGCGAAGGAGTGAGTGAAGGACGGGGCATGAAGCCCCAGGTGTTACTCTGGTGCAGCCCCCTCTCAAGGGAAACATGAGGGGTGGGGAGTAAGTGTCCCCACTTAACAAATCTCTCTGGAAGGGGTCATAGGAAACTGGGGAGAGTGGTTGCCTGTAGGAAAGGAACAGGGAGACTTACTTTGATTTAGAGATGCAGGAGTAAAGGGTCATTTCTAATCCTTCTTAAAGATTCAAGGGATTTCCTCTATTTATGAATAATTTCCTCCAAAGCTCTGATGTGGTCACTAGATCTGAATTCCAGATGTCATCATGGGAGAGTACTTCTCTTTTCCCCAATTTTCCTGGATGCCGAGCATTTCAAAGCAAACTCTAGTCCCCCTTATGTTCCCCAAGGCCTTCCTCTTACACTGGGCTCAAGACCTTACTTGACCCCTTGTAAAAACTTACCCTTTTCTGTGCAGGAGCTTACTCCTAGTGTCTGGTATTCCAGCTGAAATCACTCTCAGGTGTTAAAGCAATGTGTCTCAGACGTTAGGCATTTGAGAACCTCCCCCAGGGTTTTTGCTAACACTGAAGACCACCTGTCCTTTTATTTATATAATATTTTTCTTAAATGACTCAACTCTTTTAAAATTTCAATAAATTTGTTTTGAGGAGACTTTATATCTCTACTATAAATGATATTTCTATAAAAAGAGAGACCCTTAGCCCTGGCCTGGTAGCTCAGTTGGTTAAAGCATCGTCCGGATACACTAAGGTTGCCTGTTCAATCCCCTGTCAGGGCACATACAAGAATCAGCCAGTGAATGCATAAATAAGAGGAACAGCAAATCGATGTCTGTCTCTCCCCTTCCTCTCTCTCTAAAATCGATCAATAAGTTGAAAAATTAAAAGGAGAGAACCTTAAAATAAACATTATAATATCAAAACAACATTGTTAAATTCCAGCTACACACTATGGCCAGCCCCAAAGTTCTGCTTACTACTGTTATTTTAAAAAATGGCACATGTTAGAGACAGACTAGCACCAAACTGGATCTTTTCTCCCTGGCGGGCTCAGAAAATTTAGAATTTATGACAACTTTCTCCCTACATGGTTCAGTGTTATTTGATGCCTATCGATGCCCCATCCAACATCATGCCTTGTAACATGAATTCCACACTTGGGGGAAGACTGAGTTAAAGCCTTTTTTTTCCTTTCCCAGAAAGTCTTAATTATGTGTCCCTAGGCATTTGTGTCCTCTGAGCTGGACAATATAAAGCCATTATTACCCTGAAGTTGATGGCCCTGCCTGATGTGGTTGGCATTTTGGCTTTCCAGCTGGTGTTAAAGTAACGTCAGTGTGGTGCATGTGCCTTTTTCTCTCTCCTTTTTTACGAGGGTCAGAAACGCATGTCTTTGGAGGCAGCATATGATGGCAGCTAAGAATGACGCAGGCTTAAACAAAGGGGGATTTGTTCTTTTTAAAAGAATTGGAAGAATCTCTGAGCTGGTTCACTGGGTTCTTCCAAATGGTGATGCACAGCATTGCAGCTGGGACCGCCCAGACTGAGCTCTGCAGCCACACAGCTCCTGGCTCGTCACTGTTCAGGAGTCCTGGGTCTCAGAGAGTGGCCTTGTCGGGGAATAAGGGAGGGAGGGTGAGCATAGTCGGAGGGGAGAGGTGACAGAGAAAGGGTGGAGGGTTTTGTACGGTGCAACTCTCTAGGTGGGAGAGTTGCTATCAGGAAAAGGCTTTTTTAATGATTCTATTTCAACATGTTGTGGCTCCACCATCCCAGCTACTTCATCGGGGGGGAGGGAAGCATGGAAAACTCACACCTGCTTCTCAAGGAGGAAATGCTTCAGACCAGAAACGACACCCGCCAGTGCTGCTTACAGCCCATGGGCCAGGATTCGTCACAAGGCCCAACCTAACTGCAAGGGGGGCTGGGAGATGCAGTCTTCCAGTGCCCAGAGGGAGGAAAGATGAATGGCAGCTGGGTGCCATATACTGTATTCGCATTTTGTGCTACGATGTTGTTCAGATGAGAATCGATATTAAGAGGAAGGTTGTTTGAGTGGGGATTAATTTTATAAATGGTCAGATCACTAGGAGATATTTATGTATCATGATCACTTTTGCTTTGTTACGCAGCAGGGACTGTGATAACGAATACACCACTCAGAGGGTGAGTTTCCTCTGGTGCCGAGACATGCCCACAGCATTGCCAGCTGGGAGGCAGATCCAGACAGCAGTTTAGCCCCCACACAGCTCCCCCTTCCTGCCTCAGCGCCCCTGGCAGGCCGGAGAGGTTCGATGCTTTTCTGAATTAGGGATTCTAATTGGCCCTTACCCCAAGTCCTCCACAAGGAATATTTGGTGTCTGGATGCAACAAAGAACAGCTTTGGAAAGAAAGCTAGACTTTGTCTGATAAAATCTGGAAGTGAGGAAAGGCGGGGAGTGCGGTTTTGGATTTTCTAAAACCCCATTAAAAGTTGCTTGATTTTCATTTTCATTTTGTCATTGACAAATTCGAATTTCTTACACCGTCTTTAGCACATCTCTTGCTCTCTCGGCTTTCAACGAAACCCGTCCTTGCCCTGCGGCGCCCTGTGAAAATGCTGGTGCTTCTGGCTTTCATCATCATCTTCCACATCACCTCCGCCGCCTTGCTCTTCATCGCCACCATCGACAATGTAAGTTCCCGTTCCTTCCGGCCTTCCCAGAGCCCCTGATCCCACAGTCAGTAGCAGGATTAAGAACTCCCCCAAGGTGATTACAGTTTGGGGTCGTCCTGCCTACCAAGGCATGCCCGCCTCCTCAGCCTGGGCCTGAGGGCTCTGGCCTAAGTGTTGGGGTTTGGGGTTTGGAGCATCCACATTTAGGTGGGCAGGAACCTTGGTCCTCTCATCCCTGATTCCCCCACAGAGCCTGGCACGATGCCTTGGTTGTAGGAAGCTCTTTGAGGACTTGGCTTAAATTCAGCCCTCCAGAGGTCAATGACTCAGCCTTGACACTGGTGTCATTTGGGCTGGATCATTTTTTGTTGCGGGAGCCATTCTGTGCACTGTAGGAGGTTTAGCCACATCCCTGGTGTCTACCCACCAGATGCCAGCAGCACTCCCACCCCTATTTGTGACAACCAGAAAAGACTTCAGACATTGCCCAATGTCCTGTGGGGGGCAAAATCATCCTTGGTTGAGGACTACTGCCCTAGATACCCCAGGTGACCTATCCCAGGTGATCTCTGCCCCTCCTGCCTCTGACATCTCCTGACTGACAGGAGCCCTTGTTGCTGGCCTGCCTGGCCAGGCCTCCCCAGCAGAGCCTATGCTTGGGTCTTTCCTGACTCTGTCCGTGCTCCCATGAAAAACTTAACTCTTTTCCTTTAGTTTCCAACTCTCAGCCAGATGGCAGGAATGTATTTGGTAAATAACCTATTGGCATAGATTAATATCCCTCCCAGCAGGAAATGAAGCTTTTTACCAAAGATCCTCTAAGGCCCACCCCATGACCCAAAGGCCTGGCTTCAATCCTGATCATTTCAGACTGCAGAGACATTTAGAGTCAGAAACACTGCTCAAAGGGCTAAAAAATGCACCCGGCTGGCATGGCTCAGTGGTTGAGCATCAACCCATGGACTAGGCAGTCATGGTTCAATTCCCAGTCAGGGTACATGCCCCGGTTGCTGGCTTGCTCCTCAGTAAGGGACGTGCAGAAGGCAGCTGGTCAATGACTCTCATCATTGATGTTTCTATCTCTCTCTTCCTCTCCCTTCTTCTCTCTGAAATCAATAAAAACGTATTTTTAAAAAATGCACCTTACAAGTGGCCATCAGCTCTGCCTACATGTAGACTTCTGGTGATTAATCATAACGATAGTAACATAGACCATCACACCACCTGTCACTTGGAGAGCTGGAGAGTGCTTACTCTGGCCAGGTCTTGGGCTAGGCCCTTTTCTGTGCATCATCTCAGTTGATCTTCACCTGAAGTTTATAAGATAGGTCCTCTCCTAACACTGTTTTGTGATGAGGTAACTGGGCTTAGGGCAGTTAGGGAACCTGCTGGAGTTTACACTGCAGTAAGTGGCAGAGCCGGGATTTGAACCATTGCTGAAAGGACAGATAAGTGCAGTAATCAGGCTTGGATTCCTGCAGGCTCTCAAAGAACTGCCGTGAGTGGGTAGGGCAGGGATCACACTGAGGCCGTGGGTTAAAGTATTTGTACCTTGCCATTATCTGAAGGGCCCACGCTTGGTGTAATAAACGGTATTAAATGTTCTTTTAGAGTCTCCTTTTTCTGTTTCTTGCATCTGGTCCTTTGGGGTTCTGAAATGGTCACAGACGTAATGAACAGGATAGATATTAGGGGCAGAAAAGCCATCAGCCACAGCTCCACTTAATCCTATGGACCTTTTCTGCGTAGTCATATTACTATGGCACTCACTGGGGAGACACAGATGGGCATTCTTGCCAGTCAGTGACTCACGGGTGTTCATGAGTTAGGAACTGTGTTTGGCACTGTGGCAGGGCACGTAGTGGGAGCTCAGTGAACGTCTATGGACTGGATGAATGGGTGGGGGAGATTCCAGTCTGGGTGGGGGAGATTCCAGTCTGGGTGAGGGAGATTCCAGTCTTCGGGGGAACAAAAAGCAGAAGGACCGCCTTCTGGGAGTCGAGACAGCACAAGAACAGACAGAAATGAAAGCATTTGGAATAAAGGCAGGAAAGTCTCATCTGATCATCTCATCCAGAACAGGCTCCCCGCCACCACCGACCTCATCCCTTTAGCACCCCCTCTGCCGTCAGCCCTATAGCTCTTGTGGAATTTATCAGTCTATTTATTCCACCAACCGGCCCTCATCCCTTCCCGTCCACCCAGTGAAGGCCTGGACCATCCCGACTTCACTCAGACCGGCATTATGGCCATCACCTGGGTGCTTGTTAAAAACGCAACATCTCAGGCCCCACTGCAGGCCTCTCCAATCAGAATCTGCGTTTTAATCAGATCCCCACGTGGCTCGCAAGCGTGCGCACTGCAGACTGAGAAACGGTCCCCAATATTCATTTACCCTGTGCCTCACACCTAATTAGGAGTCAGTGTTTTCATAATTAACAATCAGCCTTTCCCGGTGTTTCCATTTTGTGTTACAGGCCTGGTGGGTAGGAGAAGGATTTTTTGCAGGTGTCTGGAAAATCTGTGACACGATCAACAGCACGAATTGTACAGAAATCGACGACAGATTTAACTGTGAGTGTGAAGCTGATTGAGAAGTATTGATGAAAAAGAGACCACTCAGGAGAAAGGCTTCCCTGTCCTCTGACGCCTCCCCCTCTCCTTCACCCAGCATCCTAGAGGCTGGGGCTCAGCCGCTGCAGCAGGGACAATAGCAGCTGGAGACAGGAGGGGTGTGGAGGAGCCAGAGGCTGGAGGGGGCACCAACCCCACCTACGTTGGGCCCACCCTTCTCTGTTCTTTGGCCAAGCAGAGCTTCCCTTTCTCATACTTTCTCAGCTTCAGCCCCCATCTAGAATCTTCTTCTTCTTCTCATTTATCCAAGCCTCCCCTCTCCATAGACTCAGAGACTCTATTGGCATTTATGTCACTTCCCTGAATCTCAATAGCTGGCTCCTTTGTGAGCTGTGTGGCCTTCCCTTGGGGCAGGTTATTTGAGGGCTCAGAGTATCAGTATCTTCAGCTGTGGATGGAGGTAGTAGCACTGCACCTGCCCTGCCTGCCTCTGCACGTGAGCCAAAGTACCAAAGGGCTTTGCAAATGCAGAGCATCCCACTTAATGTGCCAATTACTCTCCTCCACTCCAGAGAGGGTGGCTCTGTTTTAAGTTGTGGAACTGATGCAAGAGGCACTGTGGGTCCTGGTGCCTGATAAAATACTGGATGCCCAGTTAAATTTGATATCTCAGATCAACCATAAATAACTTAGTTTAAGTATGTCCCAAATAGTAACACGGGATATACTTGTACTAAAAAAATTATTTGTCGTTTATCTGATATTCAAATTTAATGGGCATCTTGCTTTTGTGTGTTTGTCAGATCTGGCAGTCCTTTTAGGAACAAGGGACCCTGCTCACTGGCTCCTAAAGTCTCACCATTCTGTCAATAAAAATATCAACATTCATAACACAAGCAGAAAAGTACCAGTAGAAGGCATCCTTTGCTGAAGCTTTACTGCGCGAGGCATGGGGCTAAGTCCTTTACATAAGTGATCTCATAGCCCTATCTGGCAGGGACCATTGGCCTGTTTTAAGATGAGGAAACTGAGGCACAGAGCGGAAACCCAAGGTTACACATCTAGGACTAAATGATGGAGCCAAGATTCTAATCTAGATGTGATGGACTCTGAAGCCTGCGCTCTAAACCACATCAAGTGGTCCCTGCCACACACCCCTCAGTGTGTTTATCCACCATGCTAACCCCTGACCCTGGAAACAATCATTCTTCTCTGTGCTCTGTGAGCTGGGGCTGTCGCCACTGTGCGTGGACAGCTGGGAGAGCTGGCTGTGCCCCGTGGCGATGTTTCCAAGCCTCTACTATTTGCATTCCATATCTTCTATGTGGAATTATTTAATTCCCTGTTACTTTTCCTTAAAATAACAGGGGTTGGCAAACTACCAGCCAAATTAAGTCCAATGAGCTAAGAATGTGTTTTACATTTTTAAAGAGTTGTTAAAACAAAAAACCCCAAAATATAACAAGGGACTGTATGGTCACAAAGCCTATTACTCTATGGCCTTTACAGAAAATACATGCTGACCCCTACTTCAAAATAGTCCACTTTTCCCTTACATCCGTTTATTTTAAAAGGAACTTTACATCCCGACATAAATGATAATCTGGAATCATTTGCCATAAAAGGAAATTTATTAAAAATGCTACATTGAAAATCAAATGTTATTAAATCCTCGCCAGATGCATTTGCCTCTTGAAAGTCCTGACTGTTTCTGGTTCTTTCCTTGTTAAAAACAAAACAACCCCCAAACCCAGATATTAGCAGGTGTTATAAAATTGCTAAAGTACCAAGTGGAGAACTCCTGGAGGTCCTCAGACACATTTAAACAAGAGCCAAGCGAGCATCCCTCTCCCCAGGTGAGTTTCGTTGGTTGGTGCGCTGATTGGACTCCCCTGCGCTGAGCTCGTCAGCTACCAGTGGTACATTCCGCATCCACCCTCCAACTTTGAGGAGCCCTGTTCTGAAAACGTGTCCTTTCTTCCTAAAGCCATTGTCATAATATGCCTGGGGAGTCTATAACCATAGACTGGGTGAAAGTGCGGGCAGACCNAAAGCCATTGTCATAATATGCCTGGGGAGTCTATAACCATAGACTGGGTGGCTTAAACGACAGCCATTTATTTCTATCTTACAAAGTGCGGGCAGACATGGAGTCTGATGAGAACAGATGCGCTCCCTGGTTTGCAGACAGCCTGGTTCTCCTGTCCTCACGTGGCAAAGAGCAGAAAGAGGAAGCCAGTGATTGTGCCTCGTCTTACAAGGGCACTAATCTCATTCCTGAGGGCTCCACCCTCATGACCTACTCACCCCCCAAACGCCCCACCTTCTAACACCATCGCATTGGGGGTGACACATTCAGTCCACAGCAGCCGTGTTTTCCATATTTGCCCTGTCACTTGGGGTACTTGCTGAACACACAGACTCCTGGTGCCCACCCCAGGACGACTGTTAGCAGAATCTCAGGGAGAGAGGCCCAGGAGTCTGTAGTTTTAACAAACCCCAGGTGGGTCCTGGAATTGGGCAAATTTAGGAAGCACTGCTCAAAGCCAGAGGGTCACAATCTTGGCCCTACATTGAACGTGAGACCCCCCTCCATGCCCGATCCCAAACACCACCAGAGGTTCCGATATTATTTCATCTCGGTGTAGCCTTCCGGATGTTTTTATAAAGGAGCTGTAATTTACAAGCAAGAAAAGGCAGACTTCTTAAGGTCTCAGTTCAAAGAGTTTTGACAATTATGTATACACCCATGTAACCACCATCCAAGGCAAGATAAAGAACATTCCAACACCCTAGGAAGTTCCCTCCGGCCCCGTTCAACTCAGCTCCTACCACCCGCTGCCCGGAGTGCAGCCACTTCTGACTTCTGTCACTATAGTTCCCTTTCGCCTGTTCTTGGTCTTCATAAGATGGGGTCACGTGGTGTGTTGGGGGCGCGGGTGTGTGTCTGGCTGCATTCCCCTCAGTAAGCAATGGGGGGCTCCATGCTCCCCAGCTGATCCTAATGTGCAGCCAGAATGCACTAAGAGCCACTGCTGTAAACATTTCATTAAGTACTTAACATTAGGCCTCCCTCTAGTCACTTTTTAGGCAAGATTGCAAACAAAAAATAGAAAAAAAGGAAGGCTTTCCTTAGATTTCCTTCTGCAACTCTGGGCACTGCCCCCCGCCCATCTTACCTATGTCCTGGTGATAACATTCAGCCCTCACACAGGGCTCCCTTTGAGGAGCACCCCCTAAAATCCTTCCATGGGTGAGTTCACCCCACTCTCCTAGCCTGCTGAGACGGGAGCTATTACTATCCCCATTTTGCAGGTGAGGAAACTGAGGCCCACGCAGGTGGCTCCAGTCCCTGCACGTGACCCCTCTGTACATCTTCAGTGCATGGCTCCATCCGTGTCCTTCCCCATGCAGCACCCTCCCCCAAGACTGTCTCCTTTCTCTGCTCAAACTCCTCTGCACCAAATCCTAACCACTCACGCCCCACACTCTAAGGCCAATCTGAAAAAACCCTTGCTTTTCTTTTCCTAAGGAGCCAGCACAAGGTTCACTCTCTCAAATGCACTGTCAGAAGGGCACTCAGTCCTGTGAGCCCCAAGTCCCCGAGAATCCCTCCTGAGGTCTCTCTAAAGCCCAGACACACAGTCCTCACCAACCCCTCCTTAGCTCTTAAACTGGAATCTGCCAGATTAGAACCCGAGGATTTGTGCTTTTAAAAAATCCCCCATCTGAGAGCCAAGCATGTGGGAGCAGTGACCCAGGCCAGGAAGAATGCCGAGCAGGTGGCTCTTGCCCTGTTTTCCAGATAAGGACACGGGACGGTTGGGCCAAGTGCACAAGTGGATACTAAGGGAGGGGGGTTGGGAGGACTCCGTGGCCGCTCTGTGCTCATGCTGTGCAGATGACACCCTGACACCCTACAGTTTAATCTCGTCATCCCCACTCTGGAGCTGTCACTGTCACTGCACCCAGGGGCCCTGCGGTCCTCAGTCGTGTGCTCTTGTCCTTCCCCACAGATTACTCCACGATGCAGGCAGTCCAGGCCACCATGATCCTGTCCACCATCCTCTGCTGCATCGCCTTCCTGATCTTCCTGCTCCAGCTTTTCCGCCTCAAGCAGGGAGAGAGATTTGTGTTAACCTCCATCATCCAGCTCATGTCATGTAAGTAAAACCACAGGTACTCCCTTCCCAGCCACCGCGAGTGGAAGCCAGGAGGAGTGAGGCAGGTAAAGACTTGGAAGGAGAAGCTGGCTGCTGTGCCACGGTGCTGCTGTGGGACATTTTTCATTTTGGAGTTTGGATTTAGTTAGGGGTCAGGGAAGGCGTCCTTCCTGAGCTTGTGCAGAGAGGAAGGAACAGTGTGTCAGGCAGAGGGAACAGCGTGACCAAAGGCCTGTGATAGGAGAGACTTCGCTGGCCAGTGGGGCCGGAGTGTAGAGATGGGGGTGGCATGGTGCGAGCTGCGCCAGAAAGGCAGCTGGGGCCGGACTTCATGGGTGTTGTAAGCGCTCTAGGATATGGGGGTCTTTGTCCCAAGCTGGTGGGAAGCCATCAACAGGTTTTTTTGGGGCTGGTTGGTGTTAGAGGTGCCCACTTTGGACCAGGTTTGGAGGCTGCTGGAGATACAGAGATGAGCAAGACCCAGCCTTAATCCAGGAGGGACTTACAGAGAAAAGGCATCTGGGAGCACTTTTCTCTCCTTAGGAATTTTAGTGGGACTGAACTCAGATGAAGAAGCCTTGTGCACAACATGATCAGTAGTTGTTTCTCAGTAGAGAGTTAAAGCTTTCTGATGACAAAAACTGGAAGCCCCTTCCTTCCATTGTACTTTCCAAGCTGGAGTCAATGGGAAGCTTGAGGAGGGAAAATCTGTATTTCAGAGACCACTTGCTGCTTGGTTCTAATTACCACCTCCTTCCAGCCAGCTGTCTATCGCCCAGACTTCATTCCCTGCAGCCCAGAGTCAGGTCCAGACCTGCCAGGCCTTGGCATGGCCCCAAGGCATCTTACCAGACACTAGGGTGATCTGTGTGCCTGGGACTGTCTCAGTTTTACTATTTTTTAAAAAATTCTCACCCGAAGAGATGCTGGGGAGGGGGGAACAGCGACGTGAGAGAGACATATTGATCGGATGCCTTCCATTCTCTCCCCGACGGGATCAAACCCGCAACCCAGGCATGTGCCCTGACCTGGAATCGAATTGGCAAACTCCAGCCGGGCTGTCTTTTTTAAACCTGAGTCCTGCATCCCCAAAAGCCCCTCAGTCCTGGGCATAGCTGGATGGTCGGTCACATACAGCATCCTCTTGGGGCACGTTAACTGACCATCCAGGACACAGGCAGAAGATTAAAGCATTTCGACTATAAAAGACCCTGGAAGGTCACTTGATCCCCGAGCCCCAAGTCCATGAGGATCCCTCTGGGGACCTGTCTAAAGTGCAGACCCCAGAGCCCCATCCTGACCTCTTAAATCAGACTCTGCCAGCTTAGAACCTGGGGACTTGTGTTCTCCCCCATGAGCCCAGCACCTGGAGTGGTGATCAGACCCAGCGAGGCCGAGAGAAGTGAAATGACTTGCCCAAGGCCACCAGTGAGGGGCCTCTGCTCTGCCTCTTCCTTTTCTTTCTTTGTATCTCCCAGTAAGAGGTATGGACACCTCACTACTCACACCATTAAAGGCAATTGAATATCGTCACTTAACATCCAGAGGAGAGGAGTTGGGGAGTTTCCCCTTCAAGTTTACTTTCTATCATTGTCTCCATTTGTCTGTTTACCTCTAAGCCGTTTAGTCAACACACATTACTTTGATAATATACATAGGAAAATTCCCCTGATACAGAAGTCACACGCACACATCCCCTTTCCCATCCACAATAACTCCTTCGATCATTTTCTGGTCCGAGGACCTGCCCCCTCCCCTCCCCCCGGACCCAAGCCTGCAGTGTTTAGATGCCATACCAGTCAGTGATGTTCAGGTGCGAGCGACAGGTGCTCTAACGTAAGAGACAGGATGCTGGGGCAGCTCTCAAGAATGAGAGGAAAAGCTGGAAACTAGGTCTTGGATAGAGGATCCAGGCAGCAGGAACTGATGAGCAATTGTTTTGGGGAGAAGCTGGCAGAATCAGTGTGACTCAGATCACAGTGTCACTCAGATCACAGTGTGACTTTGCTCTAGATCAAGTCTCCAGAAACAGTCTGATCAGCAGAGATTATCATACACTCACCCCCCAGGTAGACAAGGGCTGAGCACCCTGAGGGACAGTCCTACCTGGCCAGGAGAGGCAATAGGTCCCCGAAGGAAAACCAGGTTATTTAACCTCACCCTAGCATTAATGTCTGTGAGTTACTGAAGATGGTCTTGGCTGCAAGTAAGAGAAAATTCCAGTTAACAATGACTTAGGCCACAAAGACCTTTACTTTTTTTATGTAACAAGTAGCCTGGAGGTGGAAGGTGCCAGAGTTGGTTTGGCAGCTCAGCAGCAGTACCACAAGCTCCCACTCTTTTCGCCCTTCTATGCCATCATCTTCAGAGTGTCAGTGATAACCCTCTCGTGGCTCCCAAAAGGCTTCCACAGCTCCAGACATTCCATCCTGACCTAGCAGTATCTAAAGTAATATGCAAGGGAAAGTATAGAGTTGAGTAGTTGGGGACAGCAATTGTATAGGGCCTGCAAAACCTAAACTACTGTCAGGCTGACTCCTGGCATAGATCAGTTGTGACTTATCCTCTGGGCTGGACACATGGCTGCCCAAATAAAATTGGGTTCAGCTAGCAAGAATGGAAGCACCATTTGACCCAGTGGTTCTACTTCTAGGAATATATCCTAAGGAACCCCAAACACCAATCACAAAGAACTTATGCGCCCCTAAGTTCATAGCAGCACAATTTACAAGAGCTAAGATCTGGAAACAGCCCAGGGGCCCATCAGTAGATGAGTGGATAAAAAGCTGTGGAACATTTACACCATGGAGTACTACGCAGCTGTAAAGGGGAAGGACCTTTTAGCCTTTGGCACAGCATGGAGGGAACTAGAAAGTATTATGCTAAGTGAAGTAAGCCAGGCAGAGAAAGACGAGTACCACATGAGCTCACTTATATGTGGAATATAATAAACAAAATAAACTGATGAACAAAGTGGATCCAGAGACAGGCGCATGGAACAGACTGAGGGATCTCAGAGGGAAGGCGGGGAGGGGGTGTGGGTGGGGAGAGAGTAATCAGGGAACTTGTATGTTTATGGGCACAGCCCATGGACACAGACATTGGTGTGGGGAGGGCCTGGGGTGGGATGGATGTGGGGTGGAGGGGATCAGTGGGGGTAAAAAGGGGACATCTGTAATGGTCTCAACAATAAAGATAAGAAACACTAAAAATAAAATCTGTACAAAATGGCGAAGTTTTGAAAAAATTTCTGTCAATTTAGAATCAGTCATAAGTATGAATCACAGTGCTTTTTCATGACTTTGGGGAGAAACCTTTTAAGTAATAAAAATAAAATCAGAGTAAAAATCTAAAAAAAAAAGAATGGAAGCAAAATGACAGGGGAGGCAGTGATATTCTACCACAAAATACTAGTTATAATCTTCCAATAGACTAAAATAAATCCCTGTGGTAATAAAAGCTTAAGTTGGTCTCTAATAGCCCCCTCAGGTACCGGGGAAGCTCTGTGGCCCGTGATTTACCGCTGTCTTCACTTTCTTCCCCCAGGCCTGTGTGTCATGATCGCAGCTTCCATTTACACAGACCGGCTCCAGGACACTCACAGCCAGAACGAGGAGCACTTCATCCAGACCAGGGACGGCACGTACGGCTACTCCTTCATCCTGGCGTGGGTGGCCTTCGCCTTCACCTTCATCAGCGGCCTCATGTACCTGATACTGAGGAAGCGCAAATAGGCGTCAGGAGCTCGGCAGCTTTCACCCAGTACAGAATCTACATTCAGATAACCGTTTTGTATATAATCAGGTTTTTTTGTTTTGTTTTGTTGTGGTTTTTCTAGCAAACATATTGTTTCCTTTAAAAGCCAAAAAAAAGAGACGAGTTTTTGCATTCTTGAGATCAGAGAATAGACTGTGAAGGCTGGAATTCAGAACTCCTGCCTGTCTGCAAGTCTCAACAGGACAAAGCCAAATGCCAGCAATGCTCAAATCCAAAAATGTTCAGCAGGGTGTTTCTTAACCATGGGGGTGTGATGTGATGACAAGAGACCGAGAGAGCCAGGTCTGGGGGGACATCTCCCCTTAGGCTTGGGCCACACCAAGCCCCCCTCACCTCAGCTTTCCCAAATCTCTCGGTGGTGGTGGTGGAAGGTGGGGCGAGGGGCGGCCAGGTGAGGGAGGAAACCTCAGGTGTTTAGCCAAGTTCCATGTGAGAAATAGGTATGGACCCCGGTGTTCTGCCTATATCCAGACCATAGCCCCTAACCGACTGTAAGGGGCTAGGTCCAGAAAGTGCCTCCCAAATTTGCAGACAATGTCACCTGCTTGCCTTAGGGAACGGGGTCAGATGTGGGCTCACCCTGAAACAGAGACTTTCATCTTATGATCCCTAGTACACCTTGTAAAATGCAGACTGTTGGGTTCCCCACCCCCCACCTACATAGTCTTCAGGGATGGGGCCCAGGAGCCTGCATTTCTAACAAGCTCCTCTCTGATGCTTACAATGCTATGGGCCTTAAAGTTGAGGACCAGTCCCAGAGCCGGAGGAGCAGAACTGCCTCACAAATGTTAAACATCACATCATATCAAGCTGGGGAGATGGGTCTAGACCCCACTGCAGACCAAAGCCCTGGCCTCCAGCAGCTCTTTACTCTTCCCTGTCTTCCACAGCTGCTTTCACCTGGGCCACCCAAACTCCCATCCCAGGCCGTGCATCCCAATAGTCAGCCCCCCGGGGGGCGCAGCCTCCTTATAGCCCTAAGACCTCTCCCTTCTCTTCCTGACCTGCCTTCTAAGCTGGCTGGCCTCTACTAATCCCATTTCTAGAGCCTCAGAAGACCCATCCCCCATTCGTCCATCCATTCATTCATTCATCAGTTTAAGGCTTGCATGTGCCAGGCATGGGGACACCATGTCAAGATAATCCCTCCTTATGGGGCTCATCGTCTAATGGAGGAGATGGGTTAAAAACCAATTAGGAAAACTAATTAAAAACAGTGATGAAGGCTGCAAAGACCACAACCCAGGATTGAAAAGCAAGGCCGGTGGGGTGGGAGGGAACCTGCTGCATGCCTGCCTATCTTTAAATGCTCCTGGAGGCATGGAGATCAGTCTAAATATCGCTCGCTCAGCTGTGCAGATGGTATTTATTGGGCAGCATCTATTTAGCTCTGTGGAGCGTCCCAGGGTCCTGATAGCCAGTGAGGCAGTGAGAGCAACCCAGATTGCTCTGGGTCTCAGACTCTAGTGGGCACAAGAGCCACTCGGGGGAGCCTGCCTTGCTAAGGTCTGGGTGGGCGAGCGAGTGCTCCCGACAATTCCCAGACAGCTTTGGGGAGTTTGTCTTTAGGTGTGAAAGCACTGTGAGGTGTGTGGCAATGTGCTGAGCCTGGGAAGCACCCCACTGAAGAAGCCCTTTGCGCCTCACTCTTTCCTCTGGTGTTTTGAGGTATGCCTGGGTCGGCGTGCCGCCTGTTTGCCACATCAGCTCTGGTGCTACTTAAGTGCTTCTGCACCTGACCTGCTCAGAGGCACGGTGATTTGCCATCAGCCCAGTTCCAGTGGAGCTGGGGAGGCATCTGTTTTGAGTAGTGTTAGGGCCCTGTGGACTCCTTTTCAGTGCAGGATTGGGTTTTTCTGTTCATTCATTCATTCATTCATTCATTCATTCATTCATTCGTTTTCAACAGAGTACTCCATGCTCACTGTGTTCCAGGCACTCTGTGAGGCTCTGAAAACACAGGGGTGAGCAAATCCAGACATCCTACCTGAGACAGGACACTTTCCCCCCAGAGAGGCCACCAGCACAGTACAGGGTAACATCGGGCCAGTGACAGGACAGATGGCCACCTCCTGGGAAACTCATTAGGCATATGGTGGGTCTGAGCGGGTCACACCCTTGGGGTTTGGAGGATGCTATAGAAGCCTCTGGAGGAAGGTGGGTCTAAAGGTGTCGTTTCCTGGTAGCCACAATGGAAACCTCCAACCCTCTGGTAAGCCTCATGCCCAGGCAATGCATGGATTTCCTTCTCCAAAACTTCAGGGTTGCGTGAGAATCTGAAATGACCCCATGGATTTCCCTGGCTGGTTGCCACTACTGTATAGCATCCAGTATCCACGTCCATCGCGGTGCCAAGGTTTTGTGAATCATGAGAGCTGCCTCCCCCACACTGGGAAGTTGGGAAAGAGGTGATGGCGTCAGGGAGAACATACCCAAATTTCTTACCTGTAGGCAGAATCAGCCCTCTCACTCGGTGCTTATTATCAGTTATTCAATAACAACAAAGAACAGTAACCGAGGCATCCAAGAAGCAAATATTAGGACCAAATATATTACTGGTAACAACTGTATTTGAAGGAACTTGTTTGCGCATGTTAGGACATTTTTTATACAGTACTGTAATTCTTTCACTGAGGGGCTGTGGATGGAGACAGACTAACTCGTTTTGTTATTTGCATTAAAATTACTTTGGGTCTCTGTCAAGTGAGTTTGGAAAACAGATTTGTTGCTCTGAGTGAATGTATATATTTATTCCTGAACACAGGAAAATTGGAGACCTCCCCGCACTCCGCCATACTCTGCGACAGGTTATTTGCCTGTGCGCGTCCCTAACCAGCGGGCCGAGGTCCGGGGACTCTGCTCTAATGGGTGCCGAGGACACCTGGCCCCCCCGCCTGTGTGCAAACACACTAAACAGTAGCTTAGATAGAAGCGCAGCATCACTTAAAGTCTGCCTGGGTGGGGAATTACTAAACTCGCTACTAGTGGAAAGGCTACTTACGTTGCAGCACATGGGACAGCTTTGTATATTGGGGGAGTGGCGGTGATGAGGTGATGCAGGGAAGGGCCTAGAGGTGAATCTTGGTTTGTGGACAAATGTGATTTCAGGGTAGTTAGACACTTTCTACTTAATGCGCCTTTAAAATAGTGCATTTCCTATGTTTTGTATAATCTGAAACTGTACATGAAAAATAAACTTGAAAACCAAATCGCCCAGAGCGACAGACTCTAATGTGCCCGACTGTGCCAGTGTCAGGTTAAAATGCTGCCATTTTGCGTGGCAGGGGGGTCATCTGATCTCTCAGTAGGCTGATGTGGTTTTTATGGTGAGCAGTTGATGCCTGACAGTCCATCACAGGACAGCCTCCCGCTCCCTTGGCCTTTTGACTGGAGCAGCTTCCTGGGTGAACGACCTGCAGCTGCACAGGGCCTGTGCTTCGAAAGGCCCCACACTTGGTTAATGATCTGCCAACACCTTGTTCAAGTTCTTAATGGCATTTCAGCAAACAGCCCCACATTCTCATTTTGCAATGGTCCCCACATATTATGTAGTCAGGCCTGTTCTTTATTTTTTCTTTTTCAGTTACAATTTACATTGAACATTACTTTGTAATAGTTTTGTTATTGTATGGGCTCTGGGCCCCAAAAGGGTCCGCCCTTGGGTCGGCTGGTAGTGTTTGGGTTCTTGACTTCATGCAGGAAAGATTTCACAGAATGAGTCTGGGCCATTTTGAGAGTATGTTTATTAAAGCTGGGGACAGTGAAACGAAGGAAGGGCTTAAGGCAGGAAGAAGCAACAGGAGAGAGCCTAGGCTGGGCTGCTTTGGCTCACTGAGAACTAAAAGTCACAATAAAAGAAGTGAGCCAAGGTGGGGCTGCTGTTAGCTCACTGGATAGTCAGAGGAAAAGGGGGCCTTGGAGAGAGGTTCAGGAGGTTACCCTGGGATGAGGTGCTGTTACCTGCTGCTCCCCTGGTTGCAAGTCTCATGGGGACCCTTAGGAGAAAAAGAGCAGAGATACAAGGCATGGGCGTGCTCTATTGCGAGCACACCTTGGGTCCTTTATCTTGAGGCTTTTTATCTTTGGCCCGCAGGAATCCTAGGGAAGGTCTCAAGGGAGGGTCATAACAGAATATTCATTAGCTTTCCAGGTATGTCCAATATGTTGATTCATCAAAATGTGGGTATAGAGGGGTCAGGGTTATTTTCTCATTAGTTTCATTTTTAAAAAACATTGAAGAGGGACAGACCAAGGCCAGTCTGCCCCAGGACATTCTGGAATGTGTAAACTATTTCTCTTAAGTGTCCTTGATTCAGGAAGATAAGACCTTGTGATTCATCAGTTGGCTGTAAATTGCTCAATTTTTTTGGCCTTGTTTATTTTGTCTCACTTTCCCTTGTTCCACTTGTCAAGGAATCTCTCTAGTTTTTTACTATCCTACCATAGTTTCAGGTGCGCAGAATAGTGGTTAGACAGTTATATACTGTACAAAGTGCTTCCCCTGTTCTTTAGTTTGTATTTAATAAAGACTTCTGCTTTAAAGGGTTGGGTGATGGTGAAAATAAGACTATCTGTATAGCAGACTTCACTGAAAAAAGAATCAAGAGATCTTTAATTTTTATCTAAGAATGTCAAAAGTAGTAAAAGCTATCTATCTAGGGAATCCACATTTCCTTGTTTCCATACAGGGGTTGCAAACTAAACTTCCAGGGGCCACTGTCCATATTCTTTGTTTCTGTGTTTTGGTTTTTGTCCATGTGACAGGTGGATGTGGTCACTCCAGAGCACTGTTTTATATTTCTTCCATTTGGGAAATTATTTTTTTCATTCACAAAATATTTGTGGCCTAGCATGATTTGTCCTGGAGTATGAAATCCTACCTCTGGTTTACAACTTGCCTTGCCCATCCCTGCAAATCTCCAAATTCTTGAATTCTCCATCAATTTAAATTTTAGGTGTCAGGCAAAAAGAATCTCAGTAAAGCCATCTTTTCTTCCATTTTGCCATTAGATGGACCATGTTTGCCCCAACATTGACTTTTTGTTATAGGAGTGTGCTGAAGCCTCTAAGAAGATGAACATGGCAATATCCCAATGTGTTTCTACAACTTCTTCTGATACTATAACATCCACAGGTATGTGGTTGGTGTAAAATAGGTGGCAATTTATTTTGTATTTTATTTCATTTTTTAAAGATTTTTTATTGGATTTTAGAGAGAGAGGAAGGGAGAGGGAAGGAGAGACACTCATGTGAGAGCAAAACATCAATTGGCTGCCTCCTGCTCACCCCCTACAGGGAATCCAGCCCACAATCTGGGCATGTGCCTTGACCCAGAACCGAACCGGCAACCTTTTGGTGCACAGGACGATGCCCAACCAACTGAGCCACACTGGCCAGGGAAAAATAAGTGGCAATTGTAACCAAGGTTAAACTATGACCTGTGGGCCATATCAGCCCACCACCTGTTTTTGTATAGTTTTATTGGCACACAGCCACACCCACTAATTTACATATTGTTCCTTGCCACTTTCCAAGACAGAGTTGAGTAGTTGCAAAAGAAACCATATGGACCATTAAGCCTAAAATGTTTACTATTTGGCTCTTTACAGAAGAAGTTTGCCAAACCTTGGTGTAAACCAAATGCTTTACAGTAGCAATGCAAGGGCCACTGCTTCCCAGCCTGGAATGCGGGTCCTCCCTGCTTTCTTCTCTGCCACCTCCCCTTGGCCAATTCTACATTAGAGTGTCTGTTGCTTGTAGCACCCAAATTTAGGATTAGGGTTCTTAGTTGTAAGCAACAGTGACTGGAGCTGATTTAGACAGGGAAGGAATTTATTAAAAGAAAACCAGGTAGCATACGGGCTTGGAAGTATGCAGCCAACCCTGCCCTGATTGCCTCAGATTCTTCCACAGAACAGTTTGGTAAGGAGACGACTGCCACTACAAGACGGTATCACATGCACCAGGAACTCGATTTACACAGCCGGTACCTCCGACAGAAATCATCCCTGCTAGCCCTCCTTTTTTTGGATTCAGAGTCTGGCGAAGTCGCATGACCATGCCCCCAATGCAAGGGAGGCTGGAAGATGACTACTAGGCATTTTTAGTTTAGTTTTTAGTTTAGTTTATGTAGTTAAGTTCCAAAATCCACTAAGTCTCAGAAGGAAGGGAATTTTCCAACAAAAGAAGTTCAGGTGCTGGTCAGTCCAACAGAATGGTGAATGCCTGTGAATCCCATCCGAAACTAGTTCCCTATTTACCCACAGCTAAGCTAGTGCTTCCCAAACTCTATCCATATCCTACCTATATGCTCTTTGATTTAGGTGTGGAAAGCCTGCATTATTATTTACTGAACATTTTTCTTTAAATCAACTTTTTCATATAAGTTTATTTATTCAAAAAGAAACTATAAAGTGAGTTGAAAATCAGCACCAGGGTGGCATAGATAAATGCAGTACTCAAATCCTCCCACAACCACATCAAAATTACAACTAAACTATGGAACAACTGTCATTCAGAACTGCCTGAAATCTAGCTGAACAGAAGTCCTACAACTAAGGATATATAGAAGCAGCCACATTGAGACTGGTAGGAGGGGTAGAGATGCAGAATGAGCTGGCGACACACCCACATGTGGCAGATAAAAATCTGGAGGAATATCTCAGAAGAGGTCCCACTTGAAGAGTGAGGAGTTTTGGGGTGCAGTACCAGAAAAATAAGTCCCCATGACTTTCAGCTGTTAAAACCAGTGGGGATTGTGGCTGAGTGAGATGGAGAGCCACTGGAGTCCCAGGCGCTCCTCTTAAAGGGCCAGCTCAGACTTGCTTGGGCTCGCTCTCTCTGAGTTCCAGCACTGGGGCACCAGGAACATATAAGGAAGAACTGAGTTGTCTGGCATCAAGGCAAGAGCTGGAGGGGCAACTTTCTCCCAGACAGAAGTGCTGACAGAGGCTGTTGTTCTTTTGCTGAACCTTCCCGTGACAGAGCCAGCAGGCAAGCACTATATCTGAGTCTCCATCAATCTGGCTAACACCATTCACCATGCCCTGGTGATTCCCTGAGATCCTGCACCACCCAACTTGTGGGCCCAACCCAAGCCATTTCCAGTGGCTTTTCCATACAAACAGCCTTTCTTGGCTCTTGCTTTGGACTTTCCTAAACTCTCTCAAACAAGCAGTATCTGGTCTCCGCATGCCATGTACATCTCACTAAGTGGCCTCAGGCCCAGCACTAGCAGCAGTTGGCTTTTGTTTGCAGCTTGGCCTCTGCTAGGCACCTTGAAACCCAGCACAAGTAGCAGTCATCTTCAGATCACTTTGTAGTTCATGCTGGGTGGCCCAGTGCAGGGCACAGGTGGCAACTGACCTCCTGGGAGGCGTCAGAGTGAGTTCAACCAGTGGACAGCTTCAGACCATGTTAAAGCACCACCTAACCACCTTCATAAGGGACACGTTCAAGGGACATACTCAGCAAGCACATGAGCCCTGCTGAAGTAAGTCCTGCTCCATGGGGTTGACCCCTGCACAGCTGATCTGCCATGGTGGTCACAGCCAGTCCTCACAGCCAATTGACTTGGGGGTAAATCCCTTCCATTGAGGTGCCAACAGCAATCAAGTCTCAACTACAACAGGAGGGTGTACAAAGCCCACATGGGGATATGGGCCCAGCTCAGGTCAGTGGGGATGCTGTGCCACTGGACCCTACAGGACACCTACTACATTAGGGAGACAGCCAAAATGAGGAGGCAAAGAAATGTGTCCCAAATGAAACAACAGAACAAAACTTCAGAGAAAGAACTAAACAAAATGGAGATAAGCAATCTACTAGATGCAAGTTCAGAACACTGGTTATAATGATGATGCTCCATGAACTTAGGGGAAGAGTAGATGAACTTAATGAGAACTTCAATAAGGAGATAGAAAACATAAAAAAGTGCTAGTCAGAAATGGAGACTACATTACCAGAAATGAAGAATACATTACAGGGAATCAGAGTAGATGAAGAAGAGGATCATATCAGAGATTTGGAAGATAAGAAAGCAGAAAACACCCAATTAGAATAGTAAAAAAGAAAAAGAAAAAAATCCAAAAAAGTGAGGATAGTATAAAGATCCACTGAGACAACTTTAAGTATACCAACATTTGCATCATGGGGGATGCCAGCAGGAGAAAAGAGAGAGAGAGCAAGGAATTTAAAACCTATGTGAAAAAATGACAGAAAACTTCCCTAACC